GCATAGAATGAAATCTGCTAATTGTCATCACCCCTGGGTACAGAGACATCACCTGACATAATACTTCCTATGCTGCACTGACGACAAACTTTATTGAACCAGGCTTGAGTGGAGTGACACCATGTAATGTACTCTAATATAGGATAGCTAATGCCAAAAGTAGGAACTGTCTCCTGAAATCTGCTGCAGGTACATGAGAAATTTCAAGGAGAACAAATGTGACAATTCCCTGCAGCATGCCACATTTTTATTTCCTGAAGATGGAAGGTACCACAGAAACATATTCATCTTTGGGAAAACTAAATAAACTGTTTTCTGAGTCTCTAGTGTAAAGAGACTTTGTTTTAAAAATATGAACGTGATCCCATGAAGTATATTACAGATTGAATTTACTTCATGGTTGTATTAGAACCTATACTACATTGGGACCAGCAGTTGGTATAACAGTTACGTTGCTGGACTCCCACGTAGTTGACCATGGTTTGAGTCCCAGACCTGGTGGCTTAAAACTCATGCCGTGTGCAGTGTGGCCATCCCTGATTCCTCACTTTCTGTCTCTCTGGTGAGCATACGCACCCTCTAGCAAAAATCTCTTTAAAAAATAAATAAATAAATAAATAAAAACCTGGGGCTGGCAGGTGGTGTGGTGGTTGAGGTACTGGACTCCCACATGGTAAACCATGGTTCATAGTCCTGGACCTGGCAGCTTGCTTTCTCACTCTCCATTTCTCTCTGGTCAAAATTGAAGCATAATGATAATAAATATAATTTAAAATAAATATTTTTTAAAAAAAGAACCTAAACTACATTAAAATTTTAAAAAATATTTCTTCTTCCTTTATTCTTTTTTAAAATTTGCCAGAGGACCACCCTCCGGTTCCCTTTCCCATTGGATCTGAACCTGGTCTTGATGGTCACACAAGGAGGGAGAGAGGAACACTGAAGCCGGCCTCTGGTGGTGTAGCCTGGTTGCACCCTGGGGGTGGTTTCAGACACACCTTCCCTGAAGATAGGGTGGTGCAGGGTAAGGCAGCCGGATCCCACAGGGTGACTCCTTTGTCTTCTAGGCCTATGTTCCTGGGAGCCAGCTCTGCAGAGCTGGGAGACACAGGAAGGGCAACACAAGGAAAAGCAGAATTCCTGGTGGCAACAGCTAATGTAGCTCTGAGTGGTCAATAAAAGAGACTGGCAGTGGAAAAAAAAATATTTACCAGAGGATACATGCAGTCACAGGAGAGAGAGAGAGAGAAAGAGAGACAGAAAGTGAGAAAACACCCTTGTGGGGCATGGTCACACTACAATCCCTTTTACCCTATTTCTCCCTTCTGTTGGGATTTTTGGGCATGCACACACATGCACCTGGCATGTTTTCCAAGCCACAGGGTCCTAGACTCAAACCATATGGTCAACTGCATAGGATCCAGCTGCTTCAACTACAAGACCATAGGCTGGCTCCTTTTAAAAATATTTCTAACCTTTTTTAGAACTAAAATAACTACTCTTAATAATGAACGTGGCCAGTATTATAAAATTCATATTCTGCATACTACTGAACACACATTTACAAGATCAGACAGTTTGGTTATAAGGCAAAACAGTCAACTGGTTAATAGTGTGGTTTCTGAAGTCAGATAGTGTCACTTTAAATTCTGGCTTTACCATTCAGTTGCTGTGTGATCTCATGTATATTTAACCACCTTAAACCCCAATATTTTTGTTTTAAGAGAGATTTTTGTTAGAGGGTGTATGCACTTGCCAGAGAGAAATCACTCCCTGTGGGGGTGGCCATGCTACAATATCTTCTCCTCTGTTCTCCTCTCAGGATTTTGGCCATGCACACACGTGTGCCCAGCATGAGTTTTAAGTCATCAGGTCCAGGACTTGAACTGTGGTAGACTACATGGAGTCCAGTGATGTAAGCATTATGCCATCTGTTGATCCCTAAGCCTCAGTTTTTGCATCTACAAAACAGGAATGGCAATGGTATTTACTGGAGGCCATTGTGAACATGCCATTAAATGACGTACATAAAACATTTAGTTCACGGACCAGCAGTTAGTGTAATGGCTATGTTGCTGACTCCTGTGTAATCAACCGCTGTTTGAGTCCTGGACCTGGTGGCTTAAACTCACACCGGGCATGTGTGCGTGTGTGCCCAGGATCCTGAGAGGAGAATGGAGGAGAAGGGATTGCAGCATGGTCATCCCCCCTGGGGGGTGATTTCTCACTTTCTGTCTCTCTCTCTCTCTCTGTCTTTCTGGAGAGCGCAAGCGCCCTATAGCCAAAAAAAAAAAAAAAAAAATTTAGTTCAGTGTGTGGAAAATCAACGACTATTAGTGATTACTATTCTAAGAATTTCTATTAATGGCTGGCAATTAAATATTTAAAAGTTGAGACTAGTTAATTGTCTTCAAATATGCTAAAATAACAAGCCAGTTAGAATATTATTGAAAATACGGTTTGCACAGGTCTCTGGCAGTCACTTGTTTTGCTTAGTAAATAAATACCTACCACACGCACATTATGCACCAGTTTTTGCCATATTCCAGTCCTACACTGAGATGACAGCAGAGTGCTAAAATACAGTATCATGTAGTTTGGTGAAGAATTATACCACTTGGCTGTGAATTGAACTGTTCACTTTTATTCATTTGAACTCTTATGTTTTTATAGATTTAGGTTCATTTCTTCAAGCCTTCAGGATGTAGGCCACATTAATTTGCAAAGCATTCCAGAAGTTTGCCCTTCACATTGGCAAACATCATAAAACCCGATGCTCAGGCTTGTGCTTTGAATTTCCAGTGCTACCACATCCCTCTTGTGGTCGAGAAAAGTATTTGCCAGGCCCGCACTGAAA